TGTGGAAAATTTTAGCCAGGTATCTAGTTTAGTGCTATAAAATTAATATTGTTAGTTAATAGAATTTATATTTTTAGTAACATTGATTTAATATAAGTTATCTAGAATTTGACCATACTAACCTAATATACTACAGTATTTGATATAAATCAATTGTTATTTAAAATATAAATTACTGTTTAAAAAATTATGATTACTTTACTTTATTGATTGGAAAACTAATATATTACCAGAGCTTAAATTTGAACATGGGATATATTAACAAAAATAAAATAAAATATTTTGGTTGTTTATTATTTTATTAGTTCAAAATGTTATTGTATTTTATTTGTATCGAATTATGTATTATATGAATATGCTTCAAAATCAAAATTATTATTATAGCTCATATAAATTTTAGTTCAAAAATGTACAACATTATAACATTTAGCATTAGTAAACATTTTAGTGTTTTAAATAATTTAAGTTAAAAACTACTTAATACAAAATAATAAAACTAGATTTACTTTCCAATAAATTGTGTCATGTATAATTAATTTATAATTTATTAAAATGAAATATGTCTTAATTTAGTTTTTTAAAAGTTTCCATTTTTAATATTTTTAATGCATTTAAATAGGAAATCATTAATATTGATTGATTCTAGCCTTGAATGACATATTACATACAATTTGATGGCACTTTTGTTTTAAATAAATGATTTATTAGTATTAAAGAGGTTTTGTTGTATAAATTTAATATACATACTATTAAATAACTTTATATTTTTAACAAGAAACTTAATTTTGAAATTCAAAATTTACTAATTTAATAGCATTTACAGAATATCCTTGAACATATTGGCCACCTTAATGGTGAACTCTTCCAACTCGACAAAAAGTCCCCCCATATTGACATAGGCCACGGCAACCATATTTTCAGCAGGGTACAGTTTGAACGTGGTCGATACACCTGTTAAATCACCCGCGTGCCATATGACCTCCTTGAATGGACCGGGATCCTTCACAATCGCCCAACCTTTGGCTAAACCATCATAATTAGTATTATAGTTATATTAGATTTTTACAAAACTAATGCTAACAATAGAAATCTCATACCATATTCACTAGTATTCAAAGGGGGTATTATCATGCCCCGGGTCTCTGGTGACCACAACTCCTCGACAGTGCTTTGACTTAAGAAACCTTTACGTAAAAAATAATACAATACATAAAAGTCACGGTATTTCGTGTCAATTCATTTACCATTAGTTCCCTTATATGAAGAGATCATTGCGTTTCCAAATCTCAAGATATCTTCAGCCGATGAGATGAGACCCCCGGCCGGCCAATAGCCCTCGTATGATATGAGATCGTCAAGCATATCACACTTTACTAATGTGCCGGATGTCCCGTCGGATAAATGATAGTATTGTGGTCTGTGTTTGTAAATGGCTTCCCGTCTCTCAGCAAATGTTGAATTCATGTTTAATTGGGTAAACATTTTCTGCATTTCATTCTCATAAGTGTTGTCAAGTATGGACTCAATTAAAGCCCCGACCATTTGGTAGCCATAGTTAGAGTAACTCCAATTAGTACCAGGTTTATATATTAAGGGCTCGTCATTAAATGGAGGGATAGTATGGCTCACATTGTCCGCACGTCTTAGTAATAATTTGTCGAAATCTTCAACAGTTATTCCCCTATAAAGTCCCGCCGTATGTGACATCACCTGACGGACTGTCATATTAACTGCCGATCCGTTGAATGTCTTAAACGGATAGAAGTCTTTGGACAGATATTTATGGATCTCTGCGTTCAGGTCAATGAGATGGCGATCCATGAGCTGACCGACCAGTGCTGATGTCAACGACTTGCTCATCGATGCGATCCGGAATACGGAGTCCTTATGTGTCTCAACATTATTCTCGATATCCGTATAACCGAAGCCTTCCGTCCATACATTCGTTCCGTTTATACTGAACGCCATCACAGCTCCGGGTATTTGATTTGATTTCATGAATGCTTTCATCTCTTTTGTCGCATCTTTTATCACGTCATCGATTGTGTTGTACTTCGCGTTTGAATCCAAGCCTTCAGCGAAGCCATTGTTTATGACTTCATTGACATCCCCAACAGTATCATAAACTTGCCCTGTACAATTATTAATCAAGACTAATAATAAAATTAACTTTATTTGAACTGCCATTTCTAAACTTTATATTTCAGCGTTAATTAAATTAATTTTATTATTGAAAACTTCATCCAATTGTGTGCTTTTATATCAAATTATTTTAAATTATGATTTCACTTTCAATGTGTAAACATAATGATATCATCCATGAGTTAAGTGTTTGAACAAAATACAGTATAATAAGTATAATAAGTATGATAAGTATAATAAGTATAATAAGTATGATAAGTATAATAAGTATAATAAGTATGATAAGTATAATAAGTATAATAAGTATGATAAGTATAATAAGTATAATAAGTATGATAAGTATAATAAGTATAATAAGTATGATAAGTATAATAAGTATAATAAGTATGATAAGTATAATAAGTATAATAAGTATGATAAGTATAATAAGTATAATAAGTATGATAAGTATAATAAGTATAATAAGTATGATAAGTATAATAAGTATAATAAGTATGATAAGTATAATAAGTATAATAAGTATGATAAGTATAATAAGTATAATAAGTATGATAAGTATAATAAGTATAATAAGTATGATAAGTATAATAAGTATAATAAGTNTATATGAGCTATAATAATAATTTTGATTTTGAAACATGTTCATATAATACATAATTCGATACAAATAAAATACAATAACATTTTGAACTAATAATAAACAACCAAAATATTTTATTTTATTTTTGTTAATATATCCCATGTTCAAATTTAAGCTCCGGTAATATATTAGTTTTCCAATCAATTAAGTAATCATAATTTTTTAAACAGTAATATATACTGTAGTACATTAGGTTAGTATGGTCAAATTCTAGATAACTTATATTAAATCAATGTTACTAAAAATATAAATTCTATTAACTAACAATATTAATTTTATAGCACTAAACTAGATACCTGGCTAAAATTTTCCACAATCTCCAATGTAACTATGAATTTTGTTTAGTTGTTAACACTAAAGCTGAAAGTTATTCAAAAAAAGTCAACATGGTCTACAGTTCATGCCAATAATTTATAAATATAGAGACCAAGTATAGTTTAAATTAAAGCATATTATTTTCATACAGTTTAAATTTTATATGATTTATAATTAATTAGATTATTTAATAATTATTAAATTTATGTGTAATTTCATAATTAATAATCAATTTGTTACCAAGTATAGTTTAAATTAAAGCATATTATTTTCATACAGTTTAAATTTTATATGATTTATAATTAATTAGATTATTTAATAATTATTAAATTTATGTGTAATTTCATAATTAATAATCAATTTGTTTAAACTGTAAACTTTATTTAAAATTATTATAACCATATTCAACATGATTTAAATAATTATGATTGGCATTGCAAAGTCAATGTTAATTTTATTAAAATTTATATTATAAATTCTTATCAAGCTTTCTTAATTTATTTCTAATAGTCTATATTTTTATCATTTACATTTAATACAGGTTATAAAATATATCGATCTATATTGATTTTAATTATAATAATTTATATGTTATTAACTATTATTGACCTGTTTAAAACTTTATAAAATAAATATAATACTAATAAACAATTTAGTTGCAAATTTAATAAGTACTAATCAAATGGTAAAAAGGGTAACATTTATTTAAAATTAGTTTTATATTAAACAAACTTGCTTATATATTTAAAAATGGCATAAATACTCTATTGCAAACGATTATGTACTGTATTTTATCATTAAGACATTATTTTAAATTATTTTTTTTGTGATGAATACCTTGATACTATTTAAATTAAGTATTATTTATCATAATTAGATGGCATATATAAGTTAAATAAAACTATTATTAAAATCCTAAACACTATCATACCCTTTTTACCCACTATGAATTGTTACTATATTAATTTGTAGTAGTTTCATTTAAGTCTATTTTTAAATTAAAATTCTGAAAACAATCATCAGGTACCATAATTTTATAGACAATGAAATTCAAGATTATTTACTGAATTAGGTTTTAAAAATAATTTTATGTAAGGGATTGTTAGGGAATCAATAAGTACTGCACCTACACATACGATTCTGGTTTTGATTTTGTCAAGGTTAGAATTTATAAAAATTATTTAATTGCTTCAAAATTTGCATTGTACCATTTAATTTTGTATTAATAATTACTTAATTATTTATTGTATTTAAAATAATATTTTAAAATGCAAATGATTATGCCAATTTTTTATATTATAATACTTAGATATTATTTAAATAATATAAGTGCTAAGCTTACAGTTTGTGTAATTAGTTTGTAAATTTATTTTACGCTCATCATATATTTATTTTGTGGAGTTATTAAATCTTATTGCAATTATCATATTAATTATAATTTAAAGTAAATTACAGTGTTATTTATTTATTAAAAGTATTTTTGTTTTATAAAATAATACTTGATGAATTCACAATAAAATAAAACTTTGTAATAATATAAATTAGAAACTTCTAGTTATGTTTACAGTTTTAAATTTTAAAATACGCTTAAACTGTAGAACATTGATAAATCAATTAAAATAATTAGCAATTAATAAATATCCATTAGTAGCAGCAATAATTTATTATATTTGCAATATTTAACGGGTGTTTTTGTTAATGGATGTACTATTCTAATAAATATATAATTTATTTAAGCTAGCGTAATTTAGTTACATCATATTTTTAGTGGTAATTAGCAGTTTTCAAAGTAAGTAACATGTACTGTACATGTGCCAATTATTAATTAGTAATGTTTAGATCATACACGTTCAGTATACGAGTAGCAAGTACAATAGTACAACATAATTAAGCTATTAATTATTTAGTTGATAATTAACCTATAATAATTATTATTTATGTCATTATTAGAAATTATTCAATTAATATTAGTTTGAATTTTAGTACTTATATTATTAATATATTATAAACAAATAAGTCATTAGCAAGTTTATATTAGCAAATGTACTCTATAACATTTGAAATACATTGAGCAAATATGAATATATTAATTAAAATGTTTACGAATATAACATTTATTTTGCAAAATATTATAAATAAATATAAACACTGGACAACTATGTCACATAAACGAATTAACCAACATGGCACATTACCTAAAAATGAATGTATTACAACTATATTACGTCCATTTGAACTAGGTATATTTTACAACTCTGGAATAGATAATCCAGTGAAAATAAAAATTAAATGTGTTTTGATATTAATATTTATATTATTGTCAACAATTCGATATATTTTTAATATACTATTAACGGATATAAATACTAGTACTGTACCTAACTATTGTTTTGACCTAGTTCAAAAATTTGGTGGTAAGGTAGTTTATTTATATTTCGTTTGCATAGTAGCTAGCATATGCTCATTGGGCTACAGTTACATATTTATTATGGTTGATAAATCCAAAATGACATGGTACACTTTACTATTAGTGCTAAATGGTACATTGCCATTAAATTATTTATGCGTTAAAAATAAAAACATTGTCAAAAAATGTATCAAGCAATCCCATGTCATTCATAAAGAATTTGTCTGCCTTAGATATCAACTATCATAAAATAACATTTATTAATGCACAATGTACCAGGGACTTAATTTGAAACATGAGAAAAATCATGGTTTTGTTACAGTGCTTACCATTTTTCC